CAAATATTTTCCAAATTTCCCTTTAAAATGGCCTTTGAAAAACTAATTCCACTGCAGTTTCTTTTGTATCATTTTTAAGTTATCAATCACTCATCATTTCTTTCTGAAGCAAAACTAGCAACAGATTTCCATGAGCAGTTTCCCTCAGAAACACGTTTTCTTTTTCAGGCTATGAAGTTCAGAAGAAAGACACCTAATTTCTCAAGCACTTGTGCTTCCCAATTGCTTGCAGTACACTTGACCCCATGGTTGTGGGAACAGGCAGGCGTTCCTGCAAGACAGGAGAGCCCTAGTTTGGGTCAGTAGGGGACACGGAAGTGGTCAGCTAAATGAGGATGAGGTGTGAATGTTTCCTGTTCCTCCTCCCACAGCAAATGTTCATCCTTAAAACATGACCAAGAATGAGAACTGGGCAATGATTTTTGGTTAAAAGATAACCAGAAAGGGGGGAAGTGGAGGAAAAATGCAAATAAGAGATTGGTCTGGCTGGGAGAAAAGGACATTGTTAGGGTAACAATTTGTGAGGAGAACCTGTGAAATTTGGGTCGTAAATGCTCGTGACTCTTGAAAATGTGATTTAGGCACTTCAGTGCTTCTTAGGTGCAAGAAATTACTTTCTGGTTAAGAGGAAGGAACACAGAAATGTAGTGATTCCGTGAAACGCTTGTAGTAGAGCTAAGGAAAGTTAGGACACTTTGCCAGTTGTAACTTACTGGAAAGCAGATCTCAGCCACACACGCATCTTCTCCAGGGTCTGTAACCCTGGGAGGACATGAGAAGGAGATGAGGAAAGGTTTTGATGGCTTGTCTGTGTTAGTTTCCCAGAAATGAGCCTCATCTGATCTGTAGACTCGAATTGTGTACAGTTCTGGCTCAACATAAAAAGGACATGGAACTGTTGGAACAAGTCCAGAGGAGGGCCACGAGAATGATCAGGGGACTGGAGCACCTCCCATATGAAGACAGGCTGAGAAAGTTGGGGTGTTCAGCCTGGAGAGGGCTGCGCAGAGACCTCATGGCAGCCTTCCAGTATCTGAAGGGGGCTATAGGGATGATGGGGAGGGACTCTTCATTAGGGACTGTAGTGGTAGGACAAGGGGTAGCAGGTTAAAACTTAAACAGGGGAAGTTTAGATTGGATATAAGGAGGAAATTCTTTCCTGTTAGGGTGGTGAGGCACTGGAATGGGTTGCCCAGGGAGGTTGTGAATGCTCCATCCCTGGCGGTGTTCAAGGCCAGGTTGGACGAGGCCTTGGGTAATATGGTTTAGAGCGAGGTGTCCCTGCCCATGGCAGGGGGGTTGGAACTTGATGATCTTAAGGTCCTTTCCAACCCTAACTATTCTATGATTCTATGATTCTATAAATGTTCTTGGATGTTGCCATGGGAGTTACAGCCAATTTAGGACTTGGGGTTATGGTTCATTCTGAGCTCTAAAGGCAGATGGCTCATCTTTGACAGTAAGAAAGGAAGACGAGGGATGAGTTGAAGCCCTTCAACAGAGAGGGAGAAATGAAACAGGGCCATGAGTTGCAAACCTTTGATACTGCATGGAAGAGAAGTCCAGCGTGTGAAAGGGCAGAGCTTCCAACAGGTCTTGCAACACATGTGAAATCCATCAGGGTCACTGTTCCCATGGTGTTCTGTTGTCTGAGCCATAACACAACACCCTACCGGGAGGGAAAGGCATCCTGTAGGCAGGGGGAAGAGCTATCTATGCTTTTAAGAGGTTGTCTGGGAACTAAGAGAACACTTTATGGTGGTTACACTCTGAATTTATAGTTTCCTCCTCTTGCTTTTTAATGTTCTCCTGCCAAATTACCTACGGTTTGCCCCATAACTTCAAGCTGCCCTGTGGTCTGATATGTCCCAGCACCACCCGGGACACATGAAAGAATACAAAACAATCTGTCAAAGAAGAGAAGGGCTGCACTCAGAATGTAGATTCTTCTCTGGACATAAACCTTAACTGTCCAGACCCTTAGGTCAGGATGTAATAGATTTGCCCTCTTTTGATAGGGCAATGGTGACGTTTAGATACAGATCAGATCTGAGAAACTTGGGAATGAGACACGTGTGCAGTAGGAGATCTAATGTAAGCGTGACCACCCATGGTTGCATCATTTCACTCACAATAGACCTTTTTCAAGAGTAAGCACAAACAGTACGTTTGGAAGTGCCTGCTAAACGATGGTGCAGCATGTATGAAAGAGTCACAGGACATGATCAGTTCATTTCCCCTTGCTTTTCTGAGAGCAAAAAGCATTTCCTAGTACAGATGCTCATGTCCCTGTCAGTCTCTGGGCCATTGTCTGGCCTTCTAAGCGGACCCTCAAAATTAAGGCCATGTACTCCCAGCGGAGAAAGTCTTCCGATAATAGAGAAGAGCAAACAACATGACCTTTGTTTCAGAGTTAGTCACTTTCTATAACTGTTTGTCTGTGTGTTCTGGGGTCTGCCTATGTCTTTATCTTCAACAAGTGCTTTTCTCATCTCCCAGGCTGTGCCCCCCCCTCTGCAGCTGACCCATCTCTCCTTCCATCCCTATTCCTTCATGGTGGGGAGCACAGGAGCTGAGGCTGCCATGTGTGGGTTTCCAGCCACATGTGTCCTCCCCAGGAGCAGAAATGCAAACCCAGCAGTGGGAATGAGCTGCTTTTTCTCTCAGCTGCCCTCCCCTGTGCTGTGTTCCAGCAGCTCACCTCAGTGGCTCTAAAATAATTAGGAGGGAGGTTTGAAGTTTCACATGCCCCAGCAGATACAGACATTGCAACTCATCTGTTACTGCAGCCCCAGCACACAACACTGTGTAATGGCGTGGGGAATCCTGAACTTGGCAACCCCTCTTTGACCTTTGTCTGAGAGGAGGGTCATCCCTAATATCCGGGATGGATGCTGGTTGAGCTCATGTACCAGTCTTTTTCAGCTGCAGAGCAGGGAACCCAAGCATCCCGACGCAAGGCATCACCTGTTAACTCAAGCATTAAACATTAATCCCGGTTGGACTTTCACTCCTCCATCTCTGAGGTGGAAACAGATTAGGAATTTGATCTCTCAAGATTACTGCATGAAAGTCACCCTTGGAAAGGCTCCCTGTAGCCTGGCCATCTCTTGTCCATCTCTTTGGGGGTTTGTTTTCTATTAGATGCCGCTGCCCTTTGGGCTTTTTGGGGGTTTGTTTCTGTGGTTTTCTTCTTCCACCTCCTGGGGGATTGCAGGAGACCTGGAGGGTGCTCAAGTACCTGGATCGCAGGCTGAAAATCTGGGGGAACCCCAGTGGTTGTGAGACCTTCTTTGAAATCATGGTGCCTCCAGTGTGGGGTCCATGGCCAGAGCAGAGCCTGAGGGTTTTTCTGGGACTGTAAGGATGCAATAGCTGCAGGAGAGTTAAAACCCACTGCATGCAGTAGTGGCTATTTTACCCTGTGGGCAGGGTGAAGGAATAACCTCTAGCATGGTATAAAAGGGCTCATGTGAGGTGGGCACAGGGACAGATCTGGCAAAGGAGGCTGGAGGGTATCAAGGTGGTACGGAGAACGAGGTTTTCTCTCTGTAGCCATGGGGACCCAGGCTCTGGGTATTCACTCTCCCATTTACCTCTGGAAGGACCTACCTATTTTCTCTGTCCTCCTTTCTGTCTGGGTATGGCTGTGCAGGTTGGAGCATCTGTCCCACGGGAACTCTGCCCTTGATGACTTGCTTCAGCAGCCCCAGTCTCTCGGATCACAACTTCTAGTCTTCTGGTAATTGCAGAAGGGCTTTGTAGACACACACTGGGTTTCTTTGCTTTTGTTTCAGAAGTTTGAAGACTTCACCCTCCTGACTAAACCAGAGAAAAGCTTTAATCTTTCTTGCCCACAAAAACACTTCCTTCAGTGTGCTGTCTCTAGGAGCCGAAACTCCCAGAAAGCAAGTAAAAGGCACCTGTTATCAGGCAGCTGGTAACAGAACCATGTTCTAGCATTGGTATCTGTCAGAAACCCTTCCCTGCCTGCTTTCCATTTCATAGAATCATAAACTGGGTTGAAAAGACCTTTTAAGATCATCAAGTCCAACCGTTATCCCAGCACTGCCAAGGCCACCACTAACCCATGTCACTGAGGGACTTGTTTACACTGTTCTTGAATGCTTCCAGGGCTGGTGATGCCAACACTGCCCTGGGCAGCCTGTTCCAATGCCTGAGCACCCTTTTGGTGAAGAAATATTTCCTAATACCCAATCTAGACCTCCCCTGGCACAGGTTAAGGCCGTTACCTCTTGTCCTATCACTGCTTACTAGGGAAAAAGAGACCAGCCGCCTCCTGGTTCCATTCTCCCATCAGGCAGTTGTAGAGAAAGTCCCCTCTGAGCCTTCTCTTCTCCAGACTGAACCCCCAGGTCCCTCAGCCATTCCCCATCACATTTGTGCTCCAGGCCCTGCACCAGCTCCATTGCCCTTCTCTGGCCCCGCTCCAGCACCTCAATGTCTCTCCTGCAGTGAAGGGCCCAGAACTGAACACAGGATTCGAGGTGCAGCCTCACCAATGGCAAATACAGGGGGATTCTTACTTCATTAAATAGCCATTTCTCCACTGTTTTGGCAGTCACACATCAACACAGAACCATTGCTTAAAATGATCAGTTCCCCAAAGACAGACCTGCACATTATTTGAAACAACAGAGTGCCATTCTAAAATTGTTGGTTTGGATATGACAGTGACTGAATTGCCACAGACAAGATCAGACGCTCCTGAAGACTGACCTTCACAAAACAGCTCCCTTTAAAACCATCCCGACACTTTGTTCTTCCAGCACCTCCCTCAGTGCAGTTGCAAAAGCTCTGCTCTCAGTAGATGAGCTGCCACCAACTTCCCATCATGCTCATTTTAAAGATTCATTTAACCAGGCTTTAGGCTCAGAAATGTTTTAACTGGTTATTTAACGGGTACTACAAGAATGGGCAAAGAATGGGCAAAGAACAGAAAATTTGTCACGTCATGTGACAAATAAAATGAACTTCTTTTAAGAAAAAGTGAAATTAGATACATTCTACAAAATTAGGCAACAGGAAGAAAAGATAGGATAAACAGGCTCTGCAAAAGGTATTTCGCTCGAGCAGAGGGCTCATCTTGCTTGAGGAGTTGGATGTGCCGGCGGGGGCATCTTCTTTTCACAGGTCATCCTCTCCTTGTTGCATCCAAACAGATAACGCAGAAGTCTCCCCCAGTTCTGGCTGAGAGGTGGCTGGCTATCCTTGGCGAGCTGTCCATGCTCCACCATGGGAACCAGTCAACGGATCGGCTGGGGCTAAGAGCTGGGTGGTAGCAGTCTCCCTCCTCTCCCACTCATGCTCCTCTCACCAGTCCCTGGTGGGGAGCTGGAACTGGACTTGCTTGGGGGGCCTGTTCTTCTGCCCTTCCCCTTGCAGCATGGCCACCAAGGTCACTGGGAGATGGAGATGCTGCACCAGTGATGCCACAGGACACGTGGGAGGTGTGGAAGTGCTCGTTCAGCTCCTGGGACAGGGAAACCACAGAGATGCCTCTCTTGCCTCCTCACACATCCACAGTCGCTTCTGGAGCACAGGCAACTGCCAGCTGGGGCTGTTGACACACGGGGCAGCAAACATTGCTGGGAAACCATGGAAGCAGACAGTGGGCTTCTATATGCCAATGAGCTCGGTGACACCAACCGCCAGCATGGCCTTAGGCCCTGATCACCAGGCCCCATGGTGTTCAACACTATCATGTTATGCCAAAGCAGTTAGTTATGAGTCCTCCAACGCGCCTCCAGTGCCTTGGTTTGGTCCTGCCGCACTGGAGGGAGTCAGTCCCTACCCCAAAAAGCTCTTATGAAGTCAAATCAGGTCCCCCGTGGAGTCTCCCCACCTTCTCCTGTTGCTCTACGGGCAGAGAAACCCATTGGTGCCATTCCTGGCTGTGCCTGGCAGGGAGGTGGCAGTGCTGACTGTGATGCTGTTTAATTCATGTTGCCGTTCTCCACCGACAGCACCTCTCACAGGGATTGCAGAGTAGCCAGCGTGCCGCGGTTGGATTGAGCAGACAGATTTAATTAAGTTGCGATTTAATTACCTATCAGCATCCCTATTTAATAAAGCTCAGGAGGATTTTAATTTGAAAAAAATAATAATAATAATAATAAATGATATGGCCTGTCACAGAGCGGCGGTATCAGCACCCGGTGTAGGCAGGATAGCATCGTGGCCAGTGTCCCTGCCCTGTGGGAGCGAGGCAGCAGGAGGTGACCAGGCTCAGGCAGAGCCTTTGAGAGCAGCACAGATTGCAGGGAGGGGAGCATGACCCACCTTGGCAGCCGGTGCGAAGCGGCATGCTCAGGGCTTGCCTCCAAACGCTTCTGCCTCCGCTTGCTGGTTTCACCTCCTGCATGCAGGGACTGAAAGGGACTCACGAGCCCATGCCCTGTGTTTTCCTGAATAGGGTCTGTCATTTTTGATGTCTGCTGAAGCTTTCTACCTGTGATGGAAAGTTGGATCTTGTGGTAGTTAGCATCTCTCCTGTGACCTTGTTAGATGGCAAGACCAGGGTGTGGATGCTCGTTGGGTTTGCTGGTGGAGTGTGGAATACCCTGAGAGAGACCCAGTGAGTTATTATAACCTGAGGTTTAGTTTTGACTCACTAAGCTCAAATCAAAGTGCAGATCCCCAGCTGTTTGTGATGCTCAGGTCCATCAGGATTTGGAGAGGTTTGGAGAAGACACCTTGCTTTGGCTCCTCTCTGAGCAGTGACTTACAATGTCAGCTAGTGGCCAAGCCCAGCATCTGTGAGAATTTCTATCAAAGAAGATATTGTTCCACTTTAGCACTTTAGCCACTATGTTCCTTCAAGCTCCTCCCAGTTTCGCTAACTTGTACACAGCATTCATCTCACTGTTTTACTGATGGTATTTCCTAAGGGTTCAATTGAGCTTGAGGTTTTATTTCTTTTGGGCCAGACCCAGCCCTGTGGCAAGCAGGCATGGTTGTTATCCCAGGGTGAATCTCACCAGCTTTCCCTGAACATAGATGCTGGCCGGGGACCTTCTGGTCTTTGTTACTTGTGGGGATGGGCTTCTTGTTCTGCCATCTGTGTTCATCCTGTTTTCTGGTTTAGAGCTTTTCTTTAATGGACACTCACCTGGGACCTCTGTATCTTGCAGAGCCCCATCACATCTCCCCACTGATGATTAGATTTCAACACCAAGTTTAGAGCTTGAACTATGGTAACTGTGAGCACAATAAAAAGGAAGCAGTGTTTTTAAACAAGAAAAAATGAAGGAAAGCCCAAACCTTTCATTAGTTATCAGCATCACAGCAGATGAAATCTAGCCTGAGCTCTAAAATACCTCCAAGGGGATCATATATCCATATGTGCTTCCCACCTGTGCCTGGGACATCACATATGGCTTCCTTAGCTCTTGCCCTGGCCACCGGAATACATCTAGATTTGGGGCACTCATTTTAGACATCTCTCAGTTAGGCACAGTAGGTCCCCCCCTTGTGTCCCCCCCTTAAAAATGCCACTTTACAATGGAGAAAACAGCCAAGATAGAGAAAAACAGACCTTGATATTTCTATTGTTTCGTGGTAACAGCGCCTGTCCCGAGACCCCAGGCCTGACAGATTGACATAACAGGTTAATAAGTGCTTTCCACTTCTCCTAAAGGCTAATTAAATATTAATCCACTTGGTGAGGTCAGCAAAAATAACAAACAATTGGCAGAGTGAAATTCGTTTAATTAATTCTCCTGTGGAGGTTTTTCAAGCATCTTCCTCCCCTGACACACGGCTGCCTTGGCTGAGGTAACCTACAGTGAAATCAGACCTTATTGGTTCTGGGCCTGCTTCTCTCAGATATTTAATCTTGCTGCTTTTTTGTAGGGGTTTAGTTTCTGAATGCTTGTCAGGTATTGCCCAAGGCCCTGAGCACAGAGGTGAGAGGAGAAGAAGGGAATGGAGAAGTGGGGTATAAAGATGAAGAAGAGGTGGACAAAGTCTTTTTAGAAAGCTTCAACCTTCATCTACCACAGGCATAAGTTGCTCTGACTCTTTGCAAATTGAAATGCAGGTAGGTTGTTGATATTAATTCTATTGCTGGAATACCAAGAAATAAGTATTTCTTACTCCTAAACAAAAACTCTCTGCAGAGACTGTGTCCAATAGCAATCTGGGCTGCCAGTGGAAGTGTCTGTCCCACCATGATCTCGATCACCTGCATGTGGGCTAGTGGCTTCTGTGACAAATAGGTGCAGTTTGCAAGTCATTTGCACCTACAGATCAAGAATGTGTGGGAACACGTGGTACCCCATAACACATCCCCAGCACCCTGCACCCTCCAGTACCCCAAGCCAAGCTGTCTGTCCCTTGCTTCCTTGATACCTCTCCAGGAGGGCAGGGTATCACCTCTATGTCTCTGACAGCTGTGAGCATCCATAGTTCTTATCCCTTTTCATTCTAGCACACAATTGAGCATCTTTCCTCCTCTCACTATTAGTTCCCTTAAGGATAAGTGCAGCAGGATGCCTTGAACATCCTTTTTGGTTTCTGGCTTGATCTGTCAAAACAAGTTCACGTCCACTGTAATGAAATTCATCTGCCTAACAATCCCTATTCTAACAGTCCTAAAGCAAGACCCCATTTGCTTTGGTCATAGCTCCATTAAAGCACATCCCTGCATGGCAGGGAATGCCTAGGGTTGCTTTAGAGACAGTGCTCTCACTGTCTTCTGTGCCCACCATCCTTAACATGAGCATGTCACTGGCTTGCTCAGTGTTATGCTACTCACTTCCTAAGAATCTCTCCAGAAGTGCTGCCCATTGGTGTCCAGCTCCATTTCAGACATTTCTGGATACAGCACCACGCTGCACTCTCACAATGAACACTCCATTTGTGTTCATGCACTCATCCATCCACACCACAACTGATACAGACGCAGCAGCTGGAAAGAGGCAAGGAAGACTGGGAATTCCTCCTGTCTCTGCTAGAGGACAGACCCATTACAGGTATAATTTCTCGAGTGACCCCTGTCTCCTCTGTTGCAGCCCTTGTGTTGCAGCGTGCCCGGCATGCTGAGCGGGAGCACGGTGCTTGGGGCATCTTCCACTGCAGAAATCACACAGCAGGTGCCCCTTAGCCTTGGTAGGGGTGAATTGGGGTACAAGGAGGGGAAAGTCATCTCAGCCAGCTTTTAGGTAAGCCTTTAGGTGCTGTAATCTGGGGAATGAGAGAGGAAGGGGTGATGCAGAAGACAGCGCATCCTCCCAAATGCACTTTTAGAAACAACAGGAACTTCCCAAGGAAAGGTATTAAGAAAAGCAAAGTCTTCATACACAGCAGTTGCACTGGGTCTGTCTCCAGCTATTTCTCCAAGCATCTGCATGTCTGGAGGAGAGTGTCCCCATGGACACTCCACAGCTGATTTCCCTTGTGCCATGAACTTCAATCCAAGCTTGCCTTTCAGCACTACAGGGGGAAGCGTCTTTGGGCATGAAGCTTTCCAGACATCATCCCAGACACGGAGAGGACTGAGGGAGAGTGGGGAAGCTTTCTCCAGGTTACTGCTTTAGATCCATGTTAATTTTTTATTTATCTGAAAGTGGCACTGGAAGGGTTTTCAAAGTGAATCTAAAGTAATTAGGCGCTTCTGCTGATGGATTGCACTGGAGAGACGTGGATTATTTATTACAAAGTCACTTGCTGGAAAGGTTAGAGGCTGAGAAGTAATTATTTTTCCCTTTTCTTCCTTTTTTTCTTTTTTCTTAAGTGGAGGAATCAGCAGGGGACAGCAGCTGAAGTTCCTCTGTGAAATATTCCCTCCTGGCTAAGTACCCACTTTGTCCCTTCTGCCACTGTAACAAACGGGACAGGGACCCCAGGGAGGATGTGAAACAAGAGTTCATGAAGTCTTGACTGCTGGAAGCGTGGTTTGGGTTGAGATCCCTGCCCAGCACCAGCCTTTCTGCACCAGGGACATTTAGGGGTTCCCCACTCTTTGATCTCATCATGTCAGACCTGCAGCCAGGGTCAGTTTTGAGGCTGCTTGGCTGACCTAACCAAAGGCTGTGAGGATGTCTGGTTCACATGGTGAGTCTGGCATACATCTGGTGGGTGTTTTGAGCAATACCAGGAGGATTCAAAGCTTCCAGCAGCCTCAGCTGCCTCCTCCTCTCCTGCCTTGTAATCTATGTCTAGGATGGGAATTGAATCCAAAGAAATGCAATCCTCGACCTTGAAAAACAAAGCCAGGCTTGGCGCAGTCTACGGATGAATATGCAACAGCCCTAATCAGGAATCCTTTGTCAGAAAAGGGATAATTGTGGCTAACAACATGTTAGTGTAGAGCTGGATCTTCAGGCTCCTAACAGCTTATAAAACCAGGATCCCTTTTTTGGTGGGGAAAGCTGAGTGAACAAAGACAAGCTCAAGCAATTAGCCACTGGAGAATTCAGGTCCTGCAGGACAGCGTTAGCCCTGTGTAAACTGCACAAAGCCTCACAACATCCAGAGCAGGGGCCTGGGATGGTGTCAGGAATGGATGGTCTTGGCAGGGTGGTGTTGACACAGGGAAGTTGGGAGGATGGAGCATTAACAGCTCTGCTTTGTTTGTGTTCTTTAAATGGTGCCCATCACCACGATACCTGGGCATGTATTATCTCATCTTTATGTGGGATGGCTATTTGAGGCCCTTTCCAAAAAAGAACCCGAAACCACTGAATAACCCCTGTCCCCTTGCAGGGGTTAGTCTGGCTTTAGATGTAAAGGATATGAGCTGCTCGAGGCCAGCAAGGAGCAGGTATCAGTACTGCGGCTGGTGCTGCAGATCCCCCAACCCTGTGCTCCCATTCCTGACCACATTTCCAGCTGCCCCTGGCCATGCTGCAGCACAGCCCTGGGAAAAACCCTGCCTGTGGCATCACCATCTTGCACTAGTCATGGCTCCCAGCTAGGGAGACAGCCTGCTTTGGCCTCCAGGCCACCCAGGCAGAGCTCTCCTCTGACAGCAGCAACCCCCAGCTCATGGTATTTATAGATCCCGTCCATGTCCTCAGCTAGGAAGGCATCCGTAATCTCTTACAGATGTTGGGGAGAACAAAGCCAGCCACTGACTCGAAAGGGCCGCCCAGCAGAGTAATGGATTGAGACCTATTTCTTAGTCACCTCTGACATTCCCAACCCCTGCACTCTCCCTCTTCCCCAGGAGGCTCAGTGGGGCCTGCCTGATGCTCCCCAGTGTCCCAGAATCTTCCCCTGGGCAGGGACTCATCCCCATTCCTAGCAGAGAGGGTATCAAGAAGCTGTCATCCAACCTCCCCAAAAGGGAGGGGATGTTCTGCTGGAAATCTCTAAAACCACATGAATGAAGGAGGAAGAGCACAGGAAGAATGTGCCCCTGCATGCTGCCAAAGCACGTGGCTCTTACCTGGCTGCTCCAAAAGGTACAACGACTCCAAGATGCTCTCTGCCAGCTCTCCTGGGGCTTTGGGGTTACAGAGCACCCATGGCACACTGCATTATATGCACATCTCCTGGCTTTCCTGCATGTGACGGTGTTTTACCTTCCCCTAAATCCTTATGTTACCATCTCACGTTTCCTTCTCCAGTTGTCAATGTCTCCTGCACAGGAGCAAAAATCTTCTCTGATCTCCCCAGTGTTCTTTCCCTTTTCACTCACCATCTCCGATTTCCTCTTCACCCCTGGGTCAAAGCTCACACCTGAATTCTCACTTCTTTTCCTTTTGCTTTCTTTTCCCCTTTCCCTTCCTGGATTTTTTTGTGCCTTCCTCCAATTTCCCTCTTGCCCTGCCCCAAATCCCGCCCTGCCTTCTGCAGAGGGAAGCTTGATATTTGGCAGTGCCCGCATGGGGCTGACCGGCTGCCCTGGGGTCTGGCAGAGCATGTCCTGTCCTTATTTTCAGGTCAAAAACCTGTTTTCCAGGAACCCAACTGTTTGCCTGGCAAAAACCAATGTGCAGGATCTGATTAGGAATTTACTTGCCTGGATGCTGTTATCTTCGCCTCTGCCACTGCTAGGGACCTCGGTCCTGTCTTTGGGTTGTCCCACAGAGGGTTTCTGAGGAGCTTTAGGAGTTGTTAAGGAGCAATAGACTCGCATCCCAAGCAGGTGAACTCAAAATAGCACTGGCAAGAGGGATGAGCAATCTCAGTGGAAAATGAAGCACGTGGAGCTGCTGGACACAGTGTTCTAGCAGCACTGATGGGAAGCAGGGGTGTGCTGGCCAGAGAGGTCTGACTGGGAAGGCAGCACCAGCTCCCATCCCCTCTGCACTTACTTGCACAAAGATCTGCAGCCAAGCATCCTTTTAATGCGGGTCTGATTCCTGATGCATATTCTGTGAATCACTGCTAGAAGTAACTTTGAGGTCATACATCCTGCTTGACTACCTGCTGAGCTGGATGTAGTGTTTAGGGGCTCAGCTATTTCACGTGTTTTGGAGTTATATGGGAGCACTCTGAGAGCTCCCTGGCCTGCAGTCCTGTCCAGCTGCACCATGCTTCAGCTGCATTTCGCTTCCTTTTTCGTTGGATCTTCCATGGCACTATATGCTACCCAAAAAACCCACTACAGGAAGCAAGGCAGCCAGTAGAAGGAAGCTGGTTCCCCCTCTTGCTTTGCTCAAGTCTCAAATCTTTTGCCTCAAAAGCCAGGCACATCAGTGCCTTCCTCTTCTCCGCAGCGTGGCCTCTTGAATGGCTGTGCAGGAATTTGCACCTGGAATTTCCTATGAGGCTGAAGTTGCTGTTAGCTTGACTGTGAGGAAAAGGAGTCGTTTGGAGACTCCTTCAAGGCTTGTGCTCCTTACCAGTGCTAACCCCTTCTATGGGGAGGAGGCAGGATGGACAGATAGATGGATGGGCAGGCAGTGTGTTGGCAGCACTTGGCAGAACGGTGCCTTTGCACTGAGCTGGACCGAAGGCCCTTTTAATGAGTTATTCCGGTCAGGGCAGCCCGCCAAGACAATATTAACATTGATGCTTAGACTAATGGCAAAACCGGCTTCCAAACCCATGGTGGTCAAGGAGGGAGAAGGGGCTGCTGCCTGCACACAGCAGGGACCGGCACCACTGCCATGGGGGAATGGGAGGCTGGAG